AAATATGCTTTCAGCCACAGGGCCTTTGCACGGACTCTTCCCTGATCTGGAATGCCCTGCCATCAAAACTCCCGAGTCTGGCCCCTCTGGTCATTCAGGTCTCTGTTTAAATGTTGCCTCCTGGGAAAGACCTTCCAGACCACACCCGATGCCTGGTCATGCCTGGCCCTATGTTATGTCTTTTGGGTGACTCTGAAATGGCCCAGTGCCTGGCTTGTGCTCATTACGTCTTTGTAGGATGAATGAATGAACGCAGTAAGGTGCCAAGTAGCCCAGAGCTGTCGAGGCCTGGAGGAGGCAGCCACCTCACTGTGGAGGGGGCAACCAGCTCAGGCTGTACACCAGGGCAGCATGGGAGTAGAGTTGTGACGGACATGTTACCAAATGGTCAGGTGGGTGGGAGGAGAAGGCTCTCTGGTAGAAGGACGGGAGAAGACAAGCCCAGAGGTAAGGGTGGGAGAATCGGGCATTACTCTTACCTCTCACCCCTCTTTCCAGCCTGGGTGCTGTTGCTCAAGCATACCAAGCTGGTACTCAACTCAGTGCTGGCACTGACTATGCCCTCTGTCTGCAACGTTTTCCCATCTCATCTTGGCCTGCTCTCTTCCTTGCTCCATGGCCATCTTTGCTCAAATGTTGCCTAGGGGAGCCCTTCCTGACCACACCCCACCGAAAACAGTTCCACCCCCCACAGCTACCATACTCCACGCCTCACATGTCTTGATTTTTACTGCTTGTGAATTTTAGTCTGGAGCACTGGTGATGTAGTGGTTACATCTTGGGCTGCAAACTGCAAGGTCGGCAGTTCGAAACCACCAGCCAGCTCTGAGGGAGAACAATGAAGCTTTCTACTCCCATAAAGAGTTACATTTTCAGGGGGCAGTTATACTCTGTCCTGTGGGGTCACTATGAATCAGAATTGATGCAATCACAGTGAGATTTAAAAAAAAATAATTTTAATAAATTTACTATTTTCTTTCTCATCTCTCTCCAAAGAACTGTCAGCTTCCTCAGGGTAGAGGCCATTGTCTGTCTTGTCCAACACTGGCTCCCAGAACAGGGTCTGACTCAGTAAATTGCTGTTAAGTGAATGGAGAACAGAACTAACCTGGCACCAGAGACAATAGCTGGGTGGGTGTGATAGTTAAGGTTATAGGTCAGCTTGACTGAAACAAGATTCTCAATGATTCAGCACTTAAGATGTAGTAGTCCCACACGATTAGCTCTAGTACAATGTAATCACATCCATGATGAGGCCTATTCTAAGTAGTCAATCAATTGAAAAACATTTCCTGGGCTGGAGGGTAGGGGTGGGGGCTACTTCCAATATATCACCAGTTGCCTGTCATCTTACCTATTGACCTTGGATTCACTCCCCTGTGCAACCAGAAAGAAGTCTGTGGTCTGACCTGCCAATCGTTAGCATCCAGCCCAATATCAAATCTACAGATCTGGAACTTGGCTGCCTCTACAGCTGTTATTTCCTTGTGGTAAATCAATGTGTGTGTGTGTGTGTGTGTGTGTGTGTGTGTGTGTGTGTGTGTGACAGGAAGAGATTCATATTGTACC